AAAAACGCACTTGTGATGAAATGTTCTCTGAGCTCATGCTGTCCTCCCACACTGACAGAGCACAGACAAATGCGTGGAGGCAGACAATGTAAGAGTGCAGGAAAGCACAAAATGACCAGGAGGAGAGGTGGTGGGCTGAAGAGACGGCTGAAGCTGAAAGGTGGCGGCAGCGTGATGAGAGGAGGCAGGATTCAATGCTGAGGCTGCTGGAGGATCAAACCAATATGCTCCAGCATATGGTTGAGCTGCAGGAAAGGCAGCTGGAGCACAGACCACCGTTACAGCCCCTGTGTAACCAACCGCCCTCCTCCCCAAGTTCCATAGCCTCCTCACCCAGACGCCCAAGAACGCGGTGGGGGGGGGCCTCCAGCCACCCAGCCACTCCACCCCAGAGGATTGCCCAAGCAACAGAAGGCTGGCATTCAATAAGCTTTAAAGTTTTAAACTTTTAAACTGCTGTGTGGCCTTGTCCTTCCCTCCTCCACCACCCCTCCTGGTGCTTCTCTCCTCTACCACCCCTCCTGGGCTACCTTGGTAGTTATCCCCCTATTTATGTGATGAATGAATAAAGAATGCATGAATGTGAAGCAACAATGATGTCAAGAATTATAACATTCATTAACCAGTCAGAGAACACTTCAATCTCTCTGGTCACGCAATTACAGACATGAAGGTCGCTATCTTACAACAAAAAAACTTCAAATCCAGACTCCAGCGAGAAACTTCTGAATTGGAATTCATTTGCAAATTGGATACTATTAATTTAGGCTTAAATAGAGACTGGGAGTGGCTAAGTCATTATGCAAGGTAGCCTATTTCCCCTTGTTTTTTTCCTACCCCCCCTCCCAGACGTTCTGGTTAAACTTGGATTTATGCTGGAAATGGCCCACCTTGATTATCATACACATTGTAAGGAGAGTGGTCAGTTTGGATGAGCTATTACCAGCAGGAGAGTGAGTTTGTGTGTGGGGGGGGGGGTTGAGAAGACCTGGATTTGTGCTGGAAATGGCCCACCTTGATTATCATGCACATTGTAGGGAGAGTGGTCACTTTGGATAAGCTATTACCAGCAGGAGAGTGAGTTTGTGTGTGTGTGTTTGGGGGGGTGTGAGAAAACCTGGATTTGTGCTGGAAATGGCCCACCTTGATTTTCATACACGTTGTAAAGAGAGTGGTCACTTTGGATGGGCTATTACCAGCAGGAGAGTGAGTTGGGGGGGGGGCGGAGAGTGAGAAAACCTGGATTTGTGCTGGAAATGGCCCAACTTGATTATCATACACATTGTAAGGAGAGTGATCACTTTAGATAAGCTATTACCAGCAGGAGAGTGGGGTGGGAGGAGGTATTGTTTCATGGTCTCTGTGTATATAATGTCTTCTGCAGTTACCACAGTATACATCCGATGAAGTGAGCTGTAGCTCACGAAAGCTTATGCTCAAATAAATTGGTTAGTCTCTAAGGTGCCACAAGTACTCCTTTTCTTTTTGCGAATACAGACTAACACGGCTGTTACTCTGAAACCTGTCTTTATTGCCTCTGCAAGTGGTGATCGAAGGGAGGAGGAGAGGGTGGTTAGCTTACAGGGAAGTAGAGTAAACCAAGGGGCGGGGGTTTTCATGAAGGAGAAACATACAGAACTTTCACACCGTAGCCTGGCCAGTCATGAAACTGGTTTTCAAAGCTTCTCTGATGCGCACCGCGCCCTCCTGTGCTCTTTTAACTGCCCTGGTGTCTGGCTGCGCGTAACCAGCAGCCAGGTGATTTGCCTCAACCTCCCACCCCGCCATAAACGTCTTCCCCTTACTCTCACAGATATTGTGGAATGCACAGCAAACAGTAATACCAGTGGGAATGTTGGTTTTGCTGAGGTCTAACCAAGACAGTAAACTGCACCAGCGTGCTTTTAAACGTCCAAATGCACATCCTACCACCATTCTCCACTTGTTCAGCCTGTAGTTGAACAGCTCCTGACTACTGTCCAGGCTGCCTGTATATGGCTTCATGAGCCATGGCATTAAGGGGTAGGCTGGGTCCCCAAGGATAATTATAGGCATTTCAAAATCCCCAAAGGTTATTTTCTGGTCTGGTCTGGGAATAAAGTCCCTTCTTGCAGCTTTTGAAACAGACCAGAGTTCCTGAAGATGCGAGCGTCATGTACCTTTCCCAGCCATCCCACGTTGATGTTGGTGAAACGTCCCTTGTGATCCACCAGTGCTTGCAGCACTATTGAAAAGTACCCCTTGTGGTTTATGTACTCACTGGCTTAGTGTTCCGGTGCCAAGATAGGGATATGGGTTCCATCTATGGCCCCACCACGGTTAGGGAATCCCATTGCAGCAAAGCCATCCACTATGACCTGCACATTTCCCAGGGTCACTACCCTTGATAGCAGCAGATCTTTGATTACGTTGTCTACTTGCATCACAGCAGCCCCCACAGTAGATTTGCCCACTCCAAACTGATTCCCGACTGACTAGTAGCTGTTTGGCGTTGCAAGCTTCCACAGGGCTATTGCCACTCGCTTCTCAACTGTGAGGGCTGCTCTCATCTTGGTATTCTTGTGCCTCAGGGCAGGGGAAAGCAAGTCACAAAGTTCCATGAAAGCGCCCTTACGCATGTGAAAGTTTCGCAACCACTGGGAATCGTCCCAGACCTGCAACACTATGCGGTCCCACCAGTCTGTGCTTGTTTCCCAAACCCAGAATCGGCGTTCCACCACATGAACCTGCCCCATTAGCACCATGACGCCCACATGGCGAGGGCCCGTGCTTTGAGAGAAGTCTGTGTCCATGTCCTCATCACTCACATCACCACACTGACGTCACCTACTCGCCCAGTATCGCTTTGCCAGGTTCTGGTGCTGCATATACTGCTGGATAATGTGCGTGGTGTTTAATGTGCTCCTAATTGCCAAAGTGATCTGAACGAGCTCCATGCTTGCCGTGGTATGGCGTCTGCACAGAAAAAGGCGCGGAACGATTGTCTGCCGTTGCTCTGACGGAGGGAGGGGCGACTGACGACATGGCTTACAGGGTTGGCTTACAGGGAATTAAAATCAACAAAGGGGGTGGCTTTGCGAGAAACTGAATGGCCCCCTCAAGGATAGAACTCAAAACTGGGTTTAGCAGGCCATTGATTTCACAGAGGGAGAGAGGGAGGAGAAAATGAATACAACAAATCTGGTCTATTTCTTGTTTTGAGCCACTTCATCTATCTTTATACATCTTGCTGGCGGCAGACTGTGCAGTACGACCGCTAGCCATTGTCAACACCTGGGTGCTCGGCAGAAGACGGTGCAGTATGACTACTGGCCATCATCTTCTGCTAGCTGCAGATTAAAAGACAGTGCGGGACTGAATCGCCACGAGACGAAACAAGGGAAATGACTTGGCTGAGTCACTCCCATGTTTGCTCAGGCGCCCGGTTAAAAGAGCACCCAGGACTACGTCAATGACGGCTACCAGTCATACTGCACTGTCTGCTGCCAAAAGGCAATAAACTGTTGCTGTGTAGCAATGCAGTACCACGTCTGCCAGCACCCAGGAGACATACGGTGACAGTGAGCTGAGCGGGCTCCATGCTTGCCATGGTATGCCGCCTGCACAGGTAACTCAAGAAAAAAGGCGCAAAATGATTGTCTGCCCTTGCTTTCACGGAGAGAGGGAGGGAACGGGGGCCTGACGATATGTACCCAGAACCACCCGCGACAATGTTTTAGCCCCATCAGGCACTGGGATTTCTACCCAGAATCCAAATGGGCAGTGGAGATTGCGGGAACTGTGGGATAGCCACCCACAGTGCAACGCTCTTGAAGTCAACGGCTGTCTCGGTACTGTGGACCCACTCCATCGATTACTTGCACTTAGAGCATTTGTGTTGGGACACACACAATCAACTGTATAAAAACACTTTCTACAAAACCAACTTCTATAAATTCGACCTAATTTCGTACTGTAGACATAGCCTGTGTCTCTTCAACTGGACTCCACTTCTGCAGGAATCTACTACTTTAAAAAACAATGTCTCTTTTCCTGTGTGACTTCTACAAACTCTACAAGAAATACACACACACACATCCTGCCGCCTCCTCCTCTACATGGCATTGGGCCAGAACTGCTCCTCCAAATTGGCTGAGAATCCAAGAGCTCTCAAACCAGCCTCCTTGCAAGGAACTACATGGATCCCCTGCTCATACACATCACACATAAAGCTTCCATAATCCTAGCTGCAAGAGCAGCTCCCATTGGGCCACTTTATTTAAAGAGCCCCCTCTTTACCCAATCAAAGATAATTGCTTAGGTAGAAGTAATGACCAGTAACAATCGCAGTGCCGTGAGTAATTGGTGGATACATATGAGGGACCACACCCACAACCAAATTGGGATTGAGAATAAACTTCTTGGAGAGTAAAAATTGCCTGCAGTTAAAATGTTCTGGTGTTTAATATTACACAGCACTGTAAGCAGTGAATCACCATTTTAGTTATTCTCACCCTCCTCTGTTCTCCATTTTGGACAGGCTACTTGTTGTCCCTTTGTTCCAATTTGGCGTCCTTTTTCCAAGTACTTGTCCCTGATTTGACAGTCACAGCTTTGTTGGTGTTTGAAATTCTTTAGGCGGTTGTGTAAGTAATGGATATTGTAATCTGAGTGGATACTGCTGGCAAGTCTGCCCAGTAACTAGAAAGAGTGGGAAAGGACAGGTAATCAGTGTGAAAATCTATATGCTAGTGGCAGCCTGTGTTTCTGTGTCAGCTAGGGTTGCCAACCTTCCAGGATTGGCCTGGAGTCTCCAGGTATTAAAGATTAATTTTTAATGAAAGATTATGTCATGTGATTAAATCTCCAGGAATACGTCCAACCAAAATTGGCAACCCTAGTCTCATCGGGGAAAGCAGGGCTAGCTGGTTAGTTCTATAGGACTCGGGGAAAGCAGGGGTAGCTCTGTTAGTACTGAAGAAGGTCACAGAAGGAGAAGACAGAAGACCAGTGTGACCTACCATCATTCCTGATCCTGTCCTTGGCAGAGGTGTTCCTGACGGCGAGTTCATGAGCAGTGGCTCTGGGTTCCTGGCGATGGTTCCTGGTAAAGAGTTCAGGGTTCTTGGTTGGGCCAGTGTGCTCACCTTGGTTCCTGTACAGATACAGTATTGTGTTTATGGTCTTTATATACTTGTTGCATACTCTTGTTTTGGGGTTTGGGTTCAGCCTTCATGCCTTTATTGTGTTAAACCTATTGAGTGGTTTGTTAATAAAATCCCTTTTGGTTAAGTATATCACTGTGATACTTTTCACTGTAGGGGAAGGTTAGTGGAGGTGGGAGGCTGACAGTTGATAGATGCTGTTAGGGGGGCAACCTAAGATGGGAGAAGTCCTATTGATTTGGATTCCTAACTGCCCAGGCAGTTCAGGAGAAGTAAATGGTGTAACTCTGGGTGAACTGTGTAATGACAAAATCAGTCTGAACTTTTAAGTGGCTAGATTAGTCATAAAAGCGCTAAGTGTAGTAAAACCTGCACCAAAGCAAGAGGCCTACACACCACCACCAAAAGTATTGTAACCCATATTGCCACACCCTTGTCCTCCAAAGGAAATGGTACTCTCCTATTTCCAGAGACCCTATTGCTTTGCAGTAGCTCTTTTTCACTTAATTTTTTACTTTAATAACTGCTCTGAAGTCACTTAGGATGGGATTCTCAAAACACTCAATATTGACCTAACACTACGCCATTGAAATCCATGGAAGTTTTACCATTATTTCAGTGGACACAAAGTTAAACCAACATTAAATGCTTTTGAAAATCCCACTGTTACAATACAATCCAGAACGTTATTTGATAGCAAACCATCAGTGAAGAAAAGCAAAACCAAAGCACCTTCTGTGTACTTCTCAGCTCACACACAGTCTTTTAAATGAGCAGCTTGTTTAACTGTTCATCATAACTTGGTCATTTACCTAATAATATGAAGATTCTTCACTCTTCATATTATTAGGCTTTCTCTAAACTAGTCCAGTTCTCATAATTTATGTTTTCGCTTAAACTGTGGCCACCTTCTGCTTGTGTCTCTCATGAAAACTCAAGTTTTTGCCAGTACTTAGCTTGTGTACCGGTTGCACACTCATTCAGTCATTGCTGCTAATCTGTGAAGTTCCTTGGCAGATGAACTGTTTCTTTGGATGGGTCATTTGTCCAGGAATGGCATATGTCACAAGACAGATCAAATTCCCTAAATGCTGAATTCATTCCCAGCCAGTAAATACATCTCTGTGCCCTTGCAGACAACCTTCAGTCCCTGAGGGGAAGAAGAATACATTTTTATCAAATCCATCTTTAACACTCGTGGTGTAACTACACCCACTCGCTTATAGGTTGGACCTCTTCAAACAATTTGTTCATTCCTGATGTGGAAAAACAGGATGACTTAAAAAAATGACTTGTTTTGATTCTCACCATCCAAAATGTTCACGGGGAATATTTCAGGGATCCAGTCAGTTTCTTATCTAACTGAACTTCTCTCAGTCTTTCCCCAGAAACAGACATCTATGAACAGTCACAGCATCAGCTTCTATCTTTGTGTCAATGAAACATTCCCTGCCCTGATTTTCAACCAGCAGTTTGTCCTCACCTGAGCTGCACAAGTTTCTTAAAATCATACTTTGGGAATCACTTTAGAGACACAATATACTTCTATTGGTAAGCTATATGAAGACAGGATAATATGAAACCTGGCTATGCCAGTACCACTGTTAGATGTTACACTGCATGACCATGCTTCAGATCATAGAATATTACATGTGTAGAGCTGAAAGCGACCTCAGCAGATCATCCAGTTCAGTCCCCTGCACTCAAGGTAGGACTAAGTAATAACTAGCCCATTCATAAAAGGTGTTTTTGTAACTTGTTCTTAAACACCTCCAATGACGGAGATTCCACAACCTCCCTAGGCAATTTGTGCTCACCTAACCTGACAGGAAGTTTTTCCTAATATCCAGCCTAAACCTCCCTTGCTGCAATTTAAGCCCATTGCTTCTTGTCCTATCCTTGGAGGTTAAGGAGAACAATTTTTCCTTCTCCTCCTTGTAACATTTTATGTACTTGAAAACTGTTCTCACGTCCTCCCTCAGTCTTCTCTTCTCCAGACTAAACAAACCCAATTTTTTCAATCTTCCCTCATAGGTCATGTTTTCTAGACCTTTAATAATTTTTGTTGCTCTCATCTGGACTTTCTCCAATTTGTCCACATCTTTCCTAAAATGTGGCACTCAGAACTGGACACAATTCTCCAGTTGAGGCTTAATCAGCATGGAGTAGAGTGGAAGAATTACTTCTTGTGTCATGCTCACAAGACTCCTGCTGATACATCCCAGAATGATGTTTGCTTTTTTTTGCAACAGTGTGCTACTGTTGACCCATATTTAGCTTGTGATCCACTATAACTCCCAGATCCCTTTCTGCAGTACTCCTTCCTAGGCAATCATTTCCCATTTTGTATGTGTGAAATTGATTGTTCCTTCTTAAGTGGAGTACTTTGCATTTGTCCTTATTAAATTTCATCCTATTTACTTCTCCAGTTTATCTAGATCATTTTGAGTTTTAATCCTATACTCCAAAGCACTTGCAACCCCTTCCAGCTTGGTAGTGTCCACAAACTGTATACATTTACTCTCTATGCTATTATCTGAATCATTGATGAAGACATTGAACAGAACCAGGACCAATCCCTGCGGGACCCCACTAAATATGCTCCTCCAGGTTGATTGTGAACCACTGATAACTATTCTCTGGGAACTATTTTTCAACCAGTTATTACCCACCTTATAGTAGCTCCATCTAGGTTGCATTTCCCCAGTTTTTTTATGAGAAGGTCATGAGAGACAGTATCACAAGCTTACTAAAGTCAAGATATACCACATCTACTGCTTCCCCCCCCATCCCTTTGTTACCCTGTCAAAGAAAGCTATTAGATTGGTCTGACATGATTTCTTCTTGACAAATCCATGTTGACTATCACTTATCACTAAGGCTACGATTTAGTCATTTTTAGTAAAAGTCATGGACAGGTCACAGGCAATAAACAAAAATTCACGGCCTGTGACCTGTCCATGACCTGTACTAAATACCCCTGAGTAAATCTGGGTGCTCTGGGAGGCTCCAGGGGCAGATCTGCTGCTCTGGACAGGGGGCTCTGGGGTGCCCACTGGTGCTGCGGGCTCTGTGGAACCTGCTGGTACTCGTGGTGGGGAGGCCTGGGGGCACCCGCTGGTGCTGGGGAGGGGCCTCAGGGGCACCCGCTGGTGTACATGCTGGTGCTCAGAGGGACTCTTGGGCGCCCACTGGTGCTGGGGGCTCTGGGGCACCTGCTGGTACTGGGGGAGGGCCTCTGGGACACCTGCTGGTTCTGGGGGAGACCTTTGGGGTGCCCACTGGTGCTGGGGGGAGGCTCCAGGGCACCCACTAGTGCTCAGGGTGAAGGCTCCTGAATGCCCGCTGGTGCTCGGGATGGGAGGGCAGCCTGGGACTACTGCTGCTGCTGCTAGCAAGGGGCAGCCCAGAACCTTCTCCGCCGCTGCTGGCAAGGGGTGGTCCGGGACTCCTGCAGCTGCTGCTGGAGGTGGGGGGGCAGCCAGAGACCGCTGCTGCGGCTCGGTGGGGGCAGTCCACATGGCCCCAGGGCCACCAGAGCTGCTTGGTCAGCTCTGGGGTCAGTCGCACCTGCTGGCTGCAGAAGTCAAAGAGGTCCCAGAAAGTCACATAATCTGTGACCTCCATGACAGACTTGCAGCCTTACTTATCACTTTATTATCTACTAGATATTTGAAAATTTATTTCTTGATTATTTGCTCCATTATCTTTCCAGGTTCAGAAGTTAAGCTGACTGGTCTGTAAATCACCACATGTATGCCTTATTCCCCTTTTATAGATTGGCACTATATTTGCCCTCTTCCAGTACTCTGGAATCTCCCACATCTTCCATGAGTTTTTGAAGATAATCGCTAATGGCTCAGATATCTGCACAGTCAGCTACTTGAGTATTTGAGGTGAAAGCCTTTTGGGTGAAAACTGAAACAAAAAAAGTCAAAGAGCGCTTCCGCCATTTCCACATTTTCTGTTATTGTCTTTGCTCCCTCATTGAGTAATGGGCCTGCCCCGTCCTTGGTCACCCTCTTGTTTCTAATGTGTCATGAAAACATGACATATCTACATTGTTTGTGTCTTCACACTTGTATCAGCTTTACTCCCAGGCTTCCTTTTATGGACCATATTGAAAGCAAACCCGTCCTTTGAGTTATATACTACATTATGAGAGAAGCATCAGTGTTAGCTCTCTACTTCTGCAGAAGCTCATTCCTATATCTACATGCAGTCCCACCCCACTTGGAAACTTCGCATGCTTTTAAAATACATCATGAATGTCAAATCTGTATCCTTTACTCCATCTACTAGCCGACTTCTATTCTCTGATTAAGCACATTTAAGCAGAGATACCAAAGGAAATTTTTCAAGGATTGAAATAAAAATCATGGGATAGGTGCAGAACTGGGGCTTGCTCAAGGTGTTATGTCATGTAAGGCCAGCTGTGCTGGAGCAGCCCAACCATCTGTCACTGATCAAAATCCTGCACTACTATTTAATTCTGGTACACAAGCCATGTGTGTGTTTTCTAAAACCTGTGAAAAATCTTATGCTTATTGTATTAGGAAATGATGTACTGCTTTCCATTTGAAAACACAAAAAGGTTTTAGTTCTAGGAAATCATTATACTTTGCACTTTCCCAGGTACTCAGCCAGTCTGCCTTTTTTATCTAGGGCTACATTTCCTCTTTATCATAAACAAAGAGAAATAGATGAGCTCAAGCCTCTAAATCCTCAGAATAGTAACCACATGTATGGAGTGCTTAACAACTGGCAGAGCACAGCTGGTGAACGGAGATGGAAAAGCAACAAGAGTGGTTGAGAAAACCCTTTAAGGTTAATTATCAAATCTTATGTGCACCCTAAAAACTGCATTGCAAAGAAATGATATTGGTGATGCATTACTGTAGCAGACATTCCTCCCTCTGAGGCTATGTCTATACCACAGCGGCTACAGTGACACTGTAGCACCATAATGTACACTGAGGGAAGGGCTTTT